CAGACTACGATTCTCATTAGTCTTCTGTGACCTAGTTCTCTTGCTGTTTGTTTAAAGACTCTAATAAGAATGTGAAATGAGCCGGGGTTTTTTATCCATAATAAACTAACCTATTTCCAGAGCATATCTGTAAAAAACAAACTGTCTTTATTGCAGACTAAAAATGGAATGAACTGTACATTGTTCATTTTTTCTCCCCAAGCCAGATGTATTTTCTGTCACCTTCAGTGTTTTGACTTTTTTAATGCAAAAAGAAAATGAGAGAATAATATGCTAAACAGATCAAAGCTCAGAACCCTAATACATTTAACAGGCTCCATTCTTGGAACTGTATTCATTATTGATATCAGAGTAACAAATCTATTTAAGTCAATGGAGACAGTCTATGGGAATGAAAAGAAAATTTAGCCCTTAAGCATTCTCTCATGAAAGAACAATAACTAAAAATGTGGGGAACTTCTTACAGTGACACATTAATAGACTTTTTTTATTTCTATTTTAATCAAATAGTCCTTTAAGAATTATAAAGTCGTTGCTGGCAATGCAAAGGCTTCATATGACTTAATATTTTGGATATTTTGGATTTGGGCATTAGATTTGGATACAGGAAAGAAATGTAAAGTTCACTGTGTGAAAGGTATCTTATTAAAGAAAGATTCTGGAGGAAACTTGGGGAAACCTAAATACTGGGTATTTCATGTCAGATAACCAAAACACGTCAGTGATGGATTTTTTTATATTCCCACCAAAAAAAAAAAAAACCCTGAGTTGATGTTTTCATTCATGTATTTCTACTTTTTTTTTTTTTCACCCAAGTTCTAATTGCATCATTTTCTACCTCTAAAACTGGGCAAAAAGTCTGGATTATGTTTTTCATTTCCTGAAGTCTCATCAGATTTGAGAAATATTTGTAGCAAAATCATTCTAAATGGATCTTTTATTTCATGCTACATTAATATATTATATATGTTTAATTTGGTATATTGCTTTTAGTTTCCTCTATATTTTTACACCTAGATACCAAAGATCAAGGTCACTTCATAGATGCACGATTGCAGAAAACACTCAGTGAAGTCATAGAATGATTTGAGTTGGAAGGGACTTTTAAAGGTCATCTAGTCTACCCCCCCGCCATGGGCAGGGACATCAACTAGATCAAGTTGCCCAGAGCCCCATCCAACACAACCCTGAACGTTTCTAGGGATGGGGCATCTACAACCTCTCTGGGAAACCTGTTGCAGCATTTCACCACCCTCTTTGTAAAAAGATTTCTTCGTTATATCTAATCTAAATCTATCTTTTAGTTTAAAACCATTACCCCTTGTCCTATCACAATAGGACCTACTAAAAAGTCTGTCCCCACCTTTTTATAAGCCCCCTGTAAGTTTTGAAAAGCTGCAGTAAGATCTTCACAGAGCCTTCTCTTCTTCAGGCTGAACAACCCCAGCTCTCTCAGCCTGTCTTCACAGGAGCCCTCTGCTCATTTTTGTGGCCCTCCTCTGGACCCGCTCCAACAGGTCCATGTCTTTCCTGTGCTGTGGGCTCCAGAGCTGGATGCAGTACTCCAGGTGGGATCTCACCAGAGCAGAGTAGCAGAATTGCCTCAAATTCACTCCTAGATCAAAGTGTTTATTTCTTGTATGTGCCTGTGCTACCTCTGTCATTATGGGCCCTTTCTGTATGGTTGCTGCTAATGCGTCTGAGCCTGTTTTTTCCAGCTCCTGAGGAAAAAGTGCCAGTGTTGGAACCAACAGCTGAACATTTGCCTCTTACATAAGATTTAATTTTGTAAGTGGTAAATAAACTTAAGCTGCTAGGTGAAATAATTTTTAAAGATATTTCTTGAATTGTTATATTTATGTTAAACTGGCAGAAATAAACCTGTGCAGGAAATTGCTGGTCTACGTGTTTCAAGAAAAGAAGAAAATTAAAAGGTTATTTACCTGATTTTCCACAGCAAAACATCTTCTGTTTGAGTTAGCTGATTCAGAAAAGGGTAGAGAACAAGTCACATTTTTTTTCTGAGGATTAGTAAGAAGGCAAAAGGGAAGAACATCTAGGATAAATTCTTTGAACTTACCTGGAGTGACAGCTTCCACTGGCCTGCAACACCAGAAGTCTCAAACCTGTGTGACTAATTATTTAACAAGTAAACAGTTCTGATTCATCTTCCCAGATTTACATATTCTTTGTTTGTTTTGTTTTTCTTTTTTAACATCATTGACTACCAGAAGTTCATTTACAGTTGGGGGAAAGGGATTATGAAACTGTAGATCTCTGTACATTAAATTCTCATTTAAGCCGTAATAATTTATATAGCAAAAAGCTGTTTAATAGTATATGAATAATTGATTATGTGGTTGTTTATAGCCTGTTTTCTTCACCTTGTTTTCAAGTATTTTATCTGAAACACCCACAGTCTAGCACGTAAGGTGGTCTCTAGAGAAAATAGGTTTCTGTCAGTAGATTACCCAATTTTCTTTGAACATGGAAATATTTTTACAGATAGCAGTTTGTAGGAGTAGGCATTCTATCATTCTCAATTACATTTCACCAATAATGTGTTTTTTATATTGATAAAAAAGATGAAAAATAGAAGTGTAGCTGATAGTGATTTAACAATTGGTAATAATAACTTCATGGACAAATTAATGTGCTATTAAATTATTTGATACACAAAGTGATAAGGTCTTCAAATACGTATGTTTATGTTTGTATTTTAAAGTCTCAAGTTAAAAACAAAATTGACAATGTATTCTTAAGTATGTTTTTCCAGGGATGATATTTTAGTGAAATAGAAATTGCATTTTCTTTCTATGAAGTCCCCAAACAAACGCAGTTTTTCTGGTCCTATTGTAGTTAGCATATGGTGATGCTTCTTGCCCAAAAGGTGGTATCAGAAGTTGTGCTTTAATTAGCGCGTGTGAGGAAACAAAGTACTGTGACTGCTCACAATGTGATCTTCTGCACTAGAGCAGTTCTTACCTTAATTTATAATGAGAATAGACTTTTTGATTCTTTCAAAGCTTTAATGTGTGCATATAAAGTTGTTCTGCATCAGTGTTGGTCAGATCACGCAAGAAATAATCACCTCTGATGAAGAATAATGATATAACTTTAACCACTTCAATTCAGTCCATTGATTTAGCTTTGAGATGATGAACCATAGTCAAAGTTGTTCTCTTTGTTGGAATTATGTTTTTCAGAATTCATACTAATAAAAAGGTTTGCCTATTGCCTCAAGACTAGAATTTACCTTTAGGGTGATTAAATTATGAAGAAATCATCTGTGTATTGAAGTTACATAATTTTCTTTATTTTTCTTACTTGAGAAAGTTACCCTTGTTACTCTTGCTATACTACAATGGTAAAATAGCTTAGAAGGTTTGTTATTGCCTTCATCTCCGCAATAAAGGAAATGCTCTGTATTAGTAAACTTTAAATTCTCAAGTCTTCCTAAAAATAAAACTCATGTGATAAGGCTTTTGAACTTTTTTTAATGGAGGAAATGTTTTAATGGAGGAAAGTAAAGGAAAAGCTCTTTACTTTGAATCAAATAGCTTCGACTGATGATCTGCACCACTGACAAATGAAATTTAATATTTGGCTATAAATGAGCAGAAAAGACATTAGCTGTAGACAGGGAGCAATTTTGATGACAATTTTGAAGAAAACAACAACAGAAGTAATTACAACAGATTGATCTGAAGCAAAATATCTGCCACACAGCAGTGTGTTTTAATACTCAAAAATGAAATAATTATGGATCTCTGGGTGGATACTGTCTCTAAAAGAGGGGGGGGTTATTACAGAATACCATGGAGTTTGTACAAATTTTTTTTTTTTTTTATTTGGCATTATCATTCTGAATGCAGAATCCCTTGGAGTTAATCATTAGTCTGCAGTAAACTATCCAGACTTCAAATACCTTCTGCTCTGTAGCTGGACTGTCTGAAAACGTGGGTTTCTAAGCACACCATTTCAGAGTACCACCCTCTCCATCCTGGTGCCATTCCTGAAATTAAGGGGTTTTCCACTCTAAATCTGCAGACATAGCTGATCCTTCAGGGTTAATCCTTCCAGACACGGCCTGAAGAAATTACATGCTCCACAGTATCACTGAGATTTGTTAAATCCCGCAAATTATTGATCAGATTTTATATTCTGTAAAGCCAGAGATACAAAAAAATTGCAGATACATTCTCTTTTCTTCTAGACAGACAATGCATAAGTTGTACAGGTATATCCAAAGAGATTGTCAGGACGCACAGTCCTCCATCATTCTTTTTTTTTTTTCTGTAGCCTAGTCTTATCTTTCATTCACATCTATAGTGCATTGGAGAAAGAGCTCTCTTTAATGAAGTTTACATTCCTCCTGTCAGGTTTCTGTGCTGTAGTCTTTGTACACATGGACACTTATCATATAATAGACAGTTTCGGTTACGTGAAGTCCTCCAGACTGGGAAAATATGCTCTTGAGGCTGAAACCTGCTACTGGTGATGAGATGCCTCCACTTGAATGGAGGATTAGGGGATTAATGACTCTTCATTGCTAATTCTCTACTGGTTGCCTCAGATTCTCTCTTAGCATCTTTCTGGGTATGCAATCCAATATGCAGGTTAAATGACCAAAAAGAAATGTGATTGTAGAGGCGCTTAAGATTTCAGGCATATTTTAATTCTTCATTATCTTAAAGTTAAAGGAGAAAATAACAAAAGCCTGGCAGCAACAAAAATAGCTGTAGATAAATTGGGATATATTCCTATGGCCTAATATTAACCTGCGCTAATGAACCTTTGAACTCAAATATACTTTTGCAGATTTTTCCTGAGCATTCACAGTACTGATCCTTATAACACAGTTTCAGTGATAGTATAAAACCTGCCATAATTCAGAAAATACTATCGTCATAACAACATTGGTGCAATTTACAGTTTTGAGATTATCTATCAAGTATGATTATGTGTGATCTTCTATTTATGTTTGTTTTGGTTTTTAGCTCCAGACCAGCCTGTCTGAACCAATGACATTATCCAAGTCGATCTCACTTCCTCGTAGTGCATATTGGCATCACATCACCCGGCAGAACAGCGTTGGAGAAATCTACAGTTTACAAGGCAAGTTCCTTATAAGTAAATGACCATTAGCTTCTTTCCATTAGACCAGAATTCATGCAAATTGCTTTTTATTTGCACTAGTTGTTTTCTCTCCATTTCATTTTAACAATTGTCAGCAGGATTCCTAAATCGACATAAAACAGGTTTCTTTTAGTCATTTTGTAAACTAATGGTGAAAATTATTCCCAAAATCACCACATAGAGCTGGATAGACAATTTGGCTCAATGTAGCTTCTCAGTAGCTAATGAATGTGAGGTTGGTTTAGTATTTTCCTCCAATAAGACTGTGTATGCATTTGGGCAACCTTAGGGTGCCCAGTTAAATCTACATAAAGTGGCTGTATAAGTTGCAAGATTAAAACAGAATAAGTCTAGGAATAAGAGCTATTCTTGGTGAATTTGCTTGGCGAATCATACATATGAGCAGTTGATTGGACTAACAGGCCTTCTGTATATATAATCATTATGTTTTGTCTCCAGTTCTCTTTCATATGTTTGGATTCTAAGCTATTTGCTTATGACTTTAAAGGCTATAATTAACATAACTTGATGATGATGATGATTCACTGCTCTTAAGCCAAAATTGATTTGTATCTTTTAGGAAACTGGAATTATTGTTACATTTAAAATGTAGACCTTTGTTAAAAGTATTGTTTTCACTTTTAAAAAATAACAACCTATCATAAACATATTGCGTTGTATTACTTGGAAAGGGCTTAAGGATTTTGTTTCAATTCTCTCTTAACAATCTGTTTGCATAAGCAATTTACATTTAGATAGGAGGTTAGAAACTGCTCACAAACAACAGTGCTCAATGCAAGGAAACATATTACCTGTTTTCTTGAAAATAAGTGAAACACAGTATATAGATGAAAGACATGAAGTGTTTTATTCTGTAAATTATCACACAAATTAAAATCAGCAGGTGAGCTGTGAATTCAGTGGGTGACTCATTAAAGGGTACAGCATTTGTTTCCCATCACCCCCCATCCAACAAAGTCAAAGTGAATTTCTAATCATGGTTATAGTCTTACAGTTAAATAACAATAACGGAAAAAAGAAAATAACCTTCCAGAAGTTGTTTGTTAAAAAAGTTGTGCTTGTAGATCACCTTTAAAAATATTCATCATATCACCGATATTTTTTCATGAACACAACAACAAGGCAAGAAAAATGTTTATTTGTAGAGATGTTAGAGTACCTCTTCTTATGTTCTTGATGGGTCTTTCCTTTGGCAAAAAAAGATAGTAAATGTGTTATGAAATACATGAAAGGAGATAAACGTATAGACCATTGTTCATTCTCTGCTATCTTTTGTTTCTTACAAATGGCCTTTGCAATAAAGGAAAGCAAAACTTGATATATCATCAAGTAATAGTTTAATATCTATACTAGTTGGCTTTGCAGGATGAAATATGTTGGAAGTGCATAATTAAAAATGCAAGAATTTTACTCTTTAGAAGTATGCAGATTTTATTCACACTTCCACAGAAACATGGGGCTAATAAACATTCCAGAACTTAAGACTGTCATTTCTCTTACATGTACTATGGTGACTGAAACTTGAGAAAGCGTGGCTGATTTCAGGAGAGACTAGTTCAGTGGGCTAAGAAGTGCATCCAGAGGACAATTTTGCCTCCCTCTGATTGCAAAACTTTTACATGCAAGAATATTGTTCATTATCTGTAATGAAGGTCTCTTTGAACCTTCTGCTGCAATGACTGATTAAATGCTATGTACTTGTACAGGAGCTGAAGGGACCGCAAAATACACCTTTTCCTCTTAATATCTGTTCATACTGATAGTCTTTGCACAGCGGAGACCTACCCGTTGTCAAAGCATCAGCCCACAGATGCTTCATAGATGTGGGTGGAAGGTGGGTAGTGAGGAAGCAGATTGTGAGCATCACTTTAGCTCTCACCTTAGTACAGCAACCAGCTGAGAAGAGCTGTTGCAGAGGGAAAAATCGCCCGCTGCCGCTGTGAGCTCCTCTGAACTTGAAAAGGTATATTACACCTTCAGAGAGGAGACGTTTTCTTTAGAGAATAATCCATCAAACTCAGTTCTGCACTTCGTGTGTATTTATGGCAAAGCTTTTTACATTAAAGAAATGAATTTGAAAATTCCACACATTCCTCTGAATAAAAAAAAACATGTAACAAACTCTAATAAAAAATATATCAAACTCTAAAATGAAATAACTAGAGTGGTGTCTACCTTTATTCAGATTACTATCAATATCAGAAAAGTAACAGCCAAACTCACTGTTACGTACAGTGTAAAAGGGTTTCCATAGTGGCAATTATTTCAAACTTGCACTCTGAAGTGACTAGAATTTAATTAATAACAGCTGGTGATGTATAAGGAGAAATGAATATGTGCTCATACTACCTTGGATAAATTGGCTCTTCGGGAGTTATTTAGCAGTCGAATTTAACTTAATTAGTAGTGTGAGTTGATCTGATAATGAATAAGCTGTAGAGTAAGAAGGTGGGGGGAGTTATGGTTCTTTTTTTTTTTTAAGACTACATTTCAGATGTAAAAAGGCAATTCAATAAATGGGCATTGGGCTTATCATCCTCCGTCTGCCCATGAAAGCACTTATATGTAAAGACCTGAAAAGATTAAAACAGAATAATAGTGCTAAAGGAACACAGGTTGCACAAAATGTCCTAAAATGAGGTGGGCTGGTTTCTCTCTTTATGCAGCTTTTCTTCCATTTGTGTCTTCCTTGCACTCTTTCAGTTCTTGATTGCACTGCTAAGATAAAAGTAGTAATTTAGTTGTCTAATTAATCTTGTCAATAGGAACAACTTGGTGGTTGGCTCTTACTAGTGGCAGCACATCACTAGCAGTATTCACTTCAAATTTTACAGTACAGTGCTGCAGGTCTGACAGAGTTTCCATCCGTGCTCTGCCGCCGCTGTGGAAGTTGTGCCATAGGGCCTCATTAGCTGACACAGCGGTGCCCTTTCAGCGCTGTGCGTTGCCTCTCCTCTCCATCTGATGCGACATTGGGCGTGTGGCAAGCCCCACCACTGCACAATAAAAAGAAAAGGGGAATTGCTGCCACGCACAAAATTCTTACAGCCATCAGGTGAAATTGCAGACTAATCTTCTGTGTTGGAATGGTTTCACTTAAAAACCCGATTGACACCCACGGCTTTACAAATCACGATGCCTCTTTCTGAAGTGTGCGTATTAATAATCCAGATCTTGCCTTTAATTACATTTCAGAAATTAAATAGTGTCCTTACAGATTTTTATCATAAAATAGTTTAAGTAATAGAGAAAAAAGATTACTTATACTCGATTTTTGTGCATACCTAAGACTTAAATGAATTGTACATTTTCATGAATAATAGACAGCTTTATGAAGAATTAGAGTCCAACAGAAAATAAACTTTCGTGGATATGTTATGTTATCCTATACATAAGGATTTACAAAAATACAAAAAATACAAGCCAAGAGCAACCTTGTGAACTGATGTCATAGTTAAGGAGAACAATACAAGTACAAAAACCCTGCAAGCATGAAGAAAACCACCTGCATGTATCCTCATAAATCATTGTTTATTGTTATTACCTGGCATATGATTTAGCACTGTTTCACAAGATATTAAGAACTGAGAAACAAAACACATATCTTTTTATGCATCAAAAGACAATAGGTACCATTAATGCATGATATATTTTAACATTTTGCATTCAGGAGTTTAAATTTGTTTAGGATGAAAGAAGGATTGCAGATCGAATTTTCAGCTTGCTGAAACTTAGTGTTATAGTTGTTTTTGTAGAGAACTCAGATAGTACAAATTTTAAACACAGTCAGTTTGGATATTATTAAACAAATAAGGCCGCATAAAATTTTGGTATGGAAACCTGCATTAGTTTTTTGTATTGCAGTTATTGAAATCCCTGAGGAAATTATGTTCAGAAAATCTAATTACAGCCTGGCCTTTCTCCAAGAAATTCAAAATTAACAATCACTTTCAATCGCCCCTGTTGTGTTTGAGTCTGGTTTGTAGTCCCTATTTGGACTTTGCTTTTGCCGTCTATACTCAAAGTGATGAACACCTACGCACATAAGCAACCCTATTCAGTTCTATGAAAGTACTTATGTGAAGGAATGTATATTTCTATAAGAATTACACCAGTAACATCTTACATGTTTTCCTCTTAAAGAGAACAGTAATGCTTTTTCCACAGTAAATTGCTAATCACAATTTGCTTATCACAAATGCTTATTTGCTCTTTCACAAATGCTCACCACATTTTGTTGTAAACCCATAGAAAAGTAATTAAATTACACTGAAAAATACTCAGCTGCCTGCAAAGAGCTGGAGTCACATTTTTAAATTTAGTGAGGAACTTTGAGAAATAAAACTATAATCTTCAATGAGAAGGGACTTAAGATGGAAGCTTAAGCTTGTTTAGTACATGTCAAAGATGCCAACTTAAGCTTGTTTAGTACATGTCAAAATCAAAAACACACCAAAGTAAAAACTGGCCTGGATGAAGTCTGTAGGAATTTTACCATTGATTGTCTTTTGAATTTCACACTAAAGATGCAAGAAAAATAAATCTGCTTTTGCAAATCAAAACAAAGGGAAACTCTGGCTCCTCTTTGACCTCAGTAAGCAAGCCTGCATTGTCCCTTGTCTTTTGGCCTTGTTAGGTGAGAGCTCACCTTTCTCTTGGTTTTGAATGTATTTTAAGTAGAATAACATGGAGTCTTAACCCATTCAGCTAAAAAATTTTGTATGTAAAAGGGAGACAAAGTCATACACAAATAATCTCTCCCAGCTACATAAGTTTCCAGACTTTTCAAAGTAGGAGCTCTGATATGTCATTAAAAGTAATCAGAGAATATTCGAGTTGCTAAATATTTAGGAGGGTTTGAATCATCCTGTTCAACCCTCCCTAGGCTAACCCTGCAGGAATTTCCTATGTGGGTTTCTGCAGTTTTCTGCAAATTAAAGTATGTAAAATGAATTGGA